ACAAAATCCTTAGCCTCAGGCTTGACCATAATTCTTGAAGCCATTTCCACACAGATCCTACTCTGGCTTCCCCTCAGTAGAAAACTCATCTTTCCAGTGACCCCATGTCAACAGTGGAGAAAAAGTGCTTGGTTCTCCTGGTGATCAGCATGAGCATGACTAAGCAAACTTAAACACACTTGTGGGCTCGTGAGGACTGTCTGACAAGGGTGCCCATGACAGCAGCCCCAGCCCCAGCATTCTCCTTCATTTCCTCTCTTCCCCACTGTGAATGCCTCAGGCCACTCACTCAGCAGAGGGCCTTGGCTGCATCAATGGGGGTTAAGGACATTCTGTTGGGCTGTCCTCCATGTGTGGTTTCCTAGAAGATGAGGAACACTCCAGTCCCTTTTCCTGCTTTGTTTTTCTTCACGCACTGCTAACTCTACTTGTGCAGCATATACATGTATTCAATTGTCTATGTGTGCATCATCTGGCGCCCTCACCTGAGTGTAAGCTCTGTGAGAAGAGGGATTGGGTTTTGTTCACTGTGTCCCAAATGTGGCGCAGCGTGCCTGGCACACAGTAGGTGCTTTTAGATACCGGGTGAATAAATGAATGGCCACGAGCAGGGAAGTGGAACACTGGGATGTGTGTGCCCTGGGAAATCAGCTAAAGGCTGCCATTTGAAAAAATTATTGGGGCACAAAAATGCTCTGTTCCATAAAAATCTACTAGGAGAATGGGGGAGTTCTGATGGTGCCTGTATGGACTCACCTTTAAGAAAATTTTATCTTACTTAAAAATATCTCTTTGAGATCTCTCTTTCAGTTCTTTTGGAGCTATACCCACAAGGGGTCAAAGACTTCTTTTTAACACAAAAATTTTTGTGGCTCTCTACCCATCAGGTGTTTTGCCCCACCTGTTTCCCCCTGGGATGTGAACCATCCCTGTGTCCAGTGTCTTCATGCTGTATGCTATAGATGCTCCCACCCGTTAGTCACTTAGCAGCCATCCCACTTATCAGGTCGACTGAGGTGGTGTCACAGTGCTTGTGTATAAGTCACTCTTATTTTACTTAATAATGGCCCCAAAGCCATTCACACAACTTTTATTACATTATATTATAATTGTTCTATTTTATTATTAGTTATTGCTGTTAATCTCTTACTGTACCCATAAATTAAGCTTTTTAAGGCTATAGAGGAAAAAACATAGTGTCTATAGAGTTCGGTACTATCTGCAGTTTCAGGCATCCACTGGGGGTCTTGGAACGTGTCCCCTGCAGATAAGGGGGGGGGGGACTAGTACTGCATTTTCCGAATGCTCTGCATTCTGAAACAGTTGAAGTCAATGGAGTTCATTTAAATAGAGGGTTTAAAATTTTCAGGCATAGTAATTGTAATGTAATAAACTCAATAAAGGGCTCTTGTTTCTATGTAGTTATTCTTATACGTAGCATTATTCTATGAAGTTATCACGTGTTTCATTCTATAAAATCCAAGCACTGGAGAGTTGATTTAAATTCAGTTCACATATTTATGTAATAAGGAAACACTGCTGATAAATAGTGCAACCCTTTGAGTAACACCATAAAAACAAAGGAGTCATCTGTTGCAGAGGCTGCCGCCAGGCTGACTCACAGAGCAGAGTCTGGAGGGGAAAATTGATAGCTCCATTTCCTTCCTCGCCTCTTTCCATCTGATAAGAGGAGCTCTCCCAGTGTGGAGGGGAGCGTGAGAGTCTTGTAAGGAGGCTCGAGGCCAGGGGAGAGGGAGCAGGAATGGGGTGCTCAGAAGCTCATCAATCACACCTGATTTCCACATCTGTTCAGGAACCAGATGTTGTGCCAACACTGCCTCCAAGCCAGTTACCAGCAGCCTGGGCTCTGGAGAAAAGCTGGGCCTTCAGCACTTTCCTCCTCCCTCCCAAACTAAAGGTGTCCAGCCTGGTTCCTGTGACATATGGAGGCCCATATGCTCCCTCCCTTGGTGGAGCAGCGAGCCTCTGATTCGCTACCTGTCAGACTTGTGCCTTCCTCTGGTGCCCACCTTTGTGAAAGGTGAACTCAGATTCTGGGTTCCTGGCAAGGCTAATGCCCACGATGTCTAGGACACAGGGTGTCTGGTCATATGTTGTGTTCACTGGGCGGTTCTGGGAAAAACTTCTTAAAATGCACATGGTTGTGTTCATATGGATCATCCTAATGCACACACAGCCGCAGGTCTTAGAGGAAATATTTAACTTACACTACACACAAAGGAAAACTGGCACTGGAGCCACAACTGAGCAATGAAGAACAAAGGTGGTGACTTGGGCAAATGAGATGAACATGCAAATCTCATCCATTTACATTTATTTTTCATCTCACAAGACAAAACCAAATGAATTAAGTTTTATCACTATTTACTATATGGACTGTTTTGCTTGTCTGCCTCATGGTCCTCAGGGCTCTGGAGGAAGGAGTGGGGTTACCACCTACAGGACACTGTGCCCCTTCAGTTGATTCCAGTGTCTGGCAACATTTATATGACACTGTCTGGCTAATGGGGTAGTGAATTAAATTCTCTACTTTTATCCTTGATCTATCCCAAGCACCTAAAACTGTGCTCAAATGTATTATGAAGGAATGTAAACTTTTACAGAATGGACAAGTAGCTTAAAAAGATTCCTGCACAACAAACCTTCAGAGGCTCAAGTTAACACTGGTACAAGCAGAAACTAGCAGCCTCTCAGGAAAGGATTAGGTAATAACAGTGAAGCCTATTGCTCTTCTTGGATATGAAGAGACACAGGTAACTGAAACTCAGCTGGACAGAAATTCTGGAGCAACATTTTCAAATTTCTGCTATACCCCCTCCCCTTCCTTAAAAAATGTAGCACTCAAAACAATTTGAAAACACAGGAAATTATTTGTAAATCTCTGAAAAATTATAAGATTAAAGGGATTAAGAGTAATATAAATATTTGCAATAAAAATAATTACAAGCAAGAGTTGTGGTTTTTGGTATTTTTGGTCACATAACCACCTTTTAAATGCTCTAGTTGTTCATTTCCCCTGTAATCAGTGCTTGATTATCAGATTAATGAGGAAGGAAGCCACCAGAGACAAGTCAGAAACATAAAGCCAGTTGAAAAAACTTTGGGAAGGAAAGCAATGTGTTTTGCAAGGGAGGAAACTGGTACCTGAGACCATGCACATACTTTCATATCCAGAAAACACTTGAATACAAACACAAAAACATATAAATCTCAGGATTAGAGTAATGTGGATGTGGAAGTCACACACCATGACATTTCCAAGAGAATAATTAAATGTTTGACAAATTCTGTAAAAAAGATAGGCCTTTCCATCTGTGAAGTATTCTTGGTCACCGGAAACCTTGTTTTACACTGGTAATCAGACCATCCACTGGTGGTGAGGCCGCGTGGGTAGGATTATGGGCTGGAGGAATATGGAAACAGTTATGGGCAACCCCAGAATCAATTCATTTATTTTATAGGGGGATCCAGATTTATAGTCTGTGTTGAGCCTAGAAATACTCTGCCAATTTAGGGGACTTTTGTAGCGTATTAGAGGCAGGGGTGTCCAAGTCAAGACAGACTCAAGGCTGAATCCTGGCCTAGCCGCTGACTAGCTATGTATCCTTGGGCCGGAGAGCCTCCTAAGCCTTGTTTTCTTCATCTCTCTCATGGTCATAGTCATGTCAATTCTATGGTGTGAGCTTTAAACGCTATGTGAAGCATTCAGCATATAAAGGCACACAAGTGGCAGGCACAGCCTTGCGGCTAAGAGTGAGGCCTCTGGACCCAGCCGCTGCTGCTAGAATGCTGGCCACCAAGAACATGCACGTCCTTTTCAGGGGCACAAGCTTGTGGGAAAATTCCAATTGGAAGCCTGGCGTGCTCTGGACCCTGTTAGACTGGGGTTTAAATTCCTGCCCCATTAACTTGCTAGGCACACAACATGGGCAAGTTTATAGTCTCTCTGGACTTGAGTTCCACATGCATAGATCAGGAGAATAGCATCTCCTATTAAGGACTACCAGACTGAAATTAAATAATGTGCCCGATCCGCAGAAATACAGGTTAGCTGCTTTCCACACCCTTTCTACATTTTCCTCCTCTGGTAGCAACACCATCTAGGGAGGAGGTAAGGTAGAAAGCTCAGGGTTCACATTCTATTTGAACAAGCTCAGGGAGGCGTGTGCATTTGTGGCGCATGTTTGTATTATGAGGCAGGAGGAAATGGATTGGTACCAAGGTCCTTGAACTAAATTGACATCAGAACCTCTGAGGAAAACAGTTAATGAACAAGATGGGGAAATGCAGGGAGAAGAGTTGTTCAGGACCCAGGGGGCTGGGGACAGAGGTGTCATTTAAGGACACCTGGGTGTGGCCATGCTGAATCTTGATTTGGCTGAAGAACTGGGAAAGCCCAGATGCTTGTGGATATTTTCAAAACCAATAGTTCTCGCCCACCTGGCATGGCTCAGTGGTTGAGCATCGACCTATGATTCAGGAGATCTAGGTTCGACTCCCAGTCAGGGCACATGTCCAGGTTGTGGGCTTGATCCCCAGTAGGGGCGTGCAGGAGGCAGCCAATCAATGATGTTTCTATCTCTCTCTTCCCCTCCCTTCCTCTCTCTGAAATCAATAAAGACATATTTAAAAATAATAAAAAAATAAAACCAATATTTCTCTACCCTGACTGCATAGAACACAGGCCCACCCCAGAGATTCAACTGTGTGGCATTTTTAAAGGTCTCCAAGCTACTGCCCACAGATTAACAGCACATGCTCAGACACAGTCAGGAAAGAGGGCATGTTCTAGATACCTCGTTTCTCCCCTGTCTGAGAACAGAACCCCCACCTCACTGATTAGAAAAGGAAAAATACACAGCAGGAACCCAAAACAGCTCAGGAGTCACCAGCAGCTCAGAGCAGAGAACACACACTTATGTTTAACTGAATAGTGGTTATTTGCGCGTCATGCCCGAGATCCACCAGCACTCTCCTACCTGGGCTCAGTCTCCCATTCTTCGTCGTCTTTGTCTTTCTCTTCTTTGGTGTCTCCAGTATGCGGGTGTTTCTGCACGATTCGCATTCCACCGGCTTTCACTAGAAGGAAAAGGAAGGAGAGTATGATCAGTGTGGAAATGGATCAGCCAGAGGACTAGGGGAACTAGCTGGAAAGGTTTTGGTTGCTCCATGGCCACAAGTTAGTCCAGATAACCTGGCATCAACAGTGATTAATAGGTTAGTGTTGTTGGGGGAAGAGTCAATATGATACGGCACACAGTGCTTCTTACTCCAGATCCACTTAGAAATTCCCATGGCTCTTCTTTGTTTTTGGTCTCATAAGTATTTCACAAGAGAAGTAGTGTAACCAGAGTACAAACCATTGGACAAAGTGGCTGCTTGCTTTACGGTCTGCAAAGTCTTCTTCATGTAACAAGGTTTCACTGAATCCCTGCCCTATGATGTTTTCTCAAATGCTGAGGATGCTTTTTAAAAACATTCTGAATAGCCCTGCATTATGTTTTATTTTTCAATTATAGTTGACACACAATATTATGTTAATTTCAGGTGTACATCATAGTGATTCAACATTTATAAGCTTTATACAAAGTGGTCACCATGATAAATCTAGTGATCATCTTACAATATTACAATATTGTCACAATATTACAATATTCTTACAATATTATTGACTACATTCCCTGTGCTGCACTTTACATCCCTGACTTATTTTATAACTGGAATTTTGTATTTCTCAATCCCCTTGCCCCCTGCTGTCCACCCCCTACCCTCTCCCCTTTGGCGACCATCAGTTTGTTCTCTGTATCTATGAGTTTGTTTCTGTTTCATTTCGTTTGTTCATTAGTTTTGTTTTTAGATTCCACATGTAAGTGAATTCATACAGTACTTGTCTCCAACGATGCTTCTGATGGGGTGATCAGCAGCAGGTGACATGGGACAGTTGCTGTGTCATGGTCACTGAGGCTGCTAAGGTGGTAGCCAAGACATCTGCTGCAGCCCTTCCCAAACTGTGCTGTGAAGCCTAAGTGCTGGCAGATGCAATTTAGTTTTTTAAAACAGCCTTGACATATAATTCACATACAATATGGTTCACCTGTTTAGAGCGTTCAATTCAACGGTGTTTAAGTGTATTCAGAGTTGTACAACCATCAACACAATCAACTTGAGAACATTTTCATCACTCCAAACCCAAAATCACGGATGGTCACTCCCTAATCCTTCCTCTCCCCTAGCAACCAGTCATCTGGATTTGCCTATTCTGGACATTTGACATAAATGAAATCACAAAATATGTGGCCTTTGGTGGCTGGCTTCTTTCACTTGACATAATGTTTTCAAGGTTCATCCATGTTGTGGCATGTGTCAGTACTCCATTCCTTTTGATGACTGAATAGTATTCCATTGCATGGGTAGACCGTGTTTAATTCATCCATTCATCTGTTGATGGACATTTAGGTTGTTTCTACTCTTTGGCTGTTAAAAATGATGCAACCATGAACAACTTGCGTACAAGTTTCTGTGTGGATACATGAACACACACCTTCATTTTCTTGGGTATATACCTAGTGGTGGACTAGCTGGGTCACACAGTAACTCTATGTTTACCATTTTGAGAAACTCATTTTCTATTCCAACCAGCTTGAGGGTTCTATTTTTTCCACATGCTCACCAACACTGGTTATCACGTATCTTTTACACTACAGCCATACTAGTGGGTCAGAAGTGGTATCTTATTGTAGTTCGATCTCTATTTCCTCAAGAGCTAATATATTAATACTGTTTTGCAAGAAAAAACAAAAAATGCGGACTCTAGGATCTGTTAAATGTGAGAAATGCTAAGTTAAACAGAATTAAATAGGTTTCTTGAAGCCAGGTTTTCTCGCCCTTTAGCATGCGTTATGAAGCTCTATGAGGGGTACAGATTGTGCCATCTTTCCCAAATGTATTTGACCACAGAACTTTTATTCCCCCATCCCAGTAATTCAGGTTATCATCCGTTAGGACTACATTGTTCCACAGGAGAGAGTTAATGGTGGCCTTATATCCAAAAAACCAGCCTCATGTGGTCACTAGCACATGCTTTGTGGTCAGCAAGCTCCTCCATGTGCTCAGCTATGTGGTCTCAGACATCCCCTCAAAGCCTTGCTGTTTCATCTGCAAAAAGGGGAGGAGAGCAGCACCCTAAGATCTAGAAGTTTAAATGAGAAGAGAGGCTGTTGAAATCCTAACCCTCAATGTGATGGTGTTTAGAGGTGGGGCCTCTGGGAGGTGATTGGGTCATGAGGGTGGAGCCCTTATAAGGAGACCCCAGAGAGCTTCCTTGCCCCTTCCACCATGTGAGAACACAGAGAAGACAGTTGTCTAGGTACCAGGAAACCAACCCTCACTAGACACCGAATGTGCTGGTACCTCAATCTGGGACTTGCAACCTGAAAAACTGCTGTTTATAAGCCACCAGTCTGGTAGTCTGTTACAGCAGCCCAAATGGCTAAGACAGAGGCATTTGGTGGTCTTGGCACAGGTGAGTCCATGGTAGAAAGTAGAGCCACGTCAGCTGCACTCAGACTCAGCACGCCTCACCCCCCTCCAGGGGACAGTCACTCCCAGTGTTCTGTCACGGTTCAGCTCCCATCACAACACAGTCCCCTTGTTAGGCCATGTCCTCTGGCATTTCAAATCCGGTTGGACCCTGCTGCATTAGGAAAGTCCAGAACAAATGACTTTCGGATTCTAAGAACAGGAAAAAGGATGTGAAATACCCCCTCCGGCCCACATGCTTCGAGGTTATTAGTTTTCAGTCTCCCTGGGAGAGTTGGCCGGCCCCGGCCTTGGGAAGCTGACCATGCCTGTTTCATGGACAACATTACGTAGCAGTATCCATTAGAAAAAGGCTAAGCAGGGTTTTATTCATTTCTCATGTTTTAATTCTTTTATATATTTAATCATTTTAGACATACTTGTCTTATAGTTGTCTATCCAATTATTTCATTACCTGAGGTCCTTGGGAGTCTAACCTCCTGTTTGTCTGCTGACTCTCTTGTTGGGTGACTGGATTATGAGCTTGTTTCCGGCGGGGCTTTATCTGTGGGGATCCTCTGGGGCCAGGCGTGCAGGCAGCATCCTTTTGGAGAGATGCTACAGGTGCACTGTCGGGCCAGGAGTACAGGAGCCTGGAGACCCTTTGCCTGTCAGATTCCTCAGGGATTGCCAGTGTGAATTTGAACCTAGAGCCCATGCAAAGGCAGGCTCGCATTCACAAATTCTCAAGGATGCTTTCTCCATCCAGGCATGGGCTGAAGCAGGGCAGCTTTCTCACCATCCCCTGGCCATATTTCATTTCTCCACCCTTTCTCCATGGGTTTGGCCTCTGAGCACCCAGCTTTCTGCTGGGGTCTTGGGTTAAGTGAGGCTGTTGGGGGGGCCCTAGCCTAGCATGACTGGTGTACTTATAAGAAAACGAAGAGACATCATGTCACTCTCTGCCTCATGTGGGACCAAGGTTCATATTGTTATAAACTTCCGTTTCTTTTTTGGGTGTGGTTCCCTCACTTTAGGGGATTTCCCTCACTTTGGGCTCAGATTAAAGAAAACAAAAATACCATTTGCAGGTGGCTTATCAAAATTTCCCAGTTATGTAGTATGCCAAACCTTAAGAAATGGAGACTGAAAATAAAATTCTGTAGTACGTTTAAGATAATTTACCACTCTATTGAAATATATATTTTTATTTTGCCAAAGGAGGCTAGAAGAAGTGTCCCACTAAATTTTTTTAAAAATTCATTTTTCTCCCCTATCTATCCCACCCCTATCCCATGTCCAATAGAAGTTGATTAAGAGTGCTGTTATGGGCTGAACTGTGGTCTCTCCAAATTCCTATATTGAAGCCCCAACCCCCATAACCTCAGAATGTGACTGTATTTGGAGATAGGGCCTTTAGAGAGGTGACTAGGTTAAAAAAAGGCTGTGAGGTGGGGCCCTAATCTAATGGCACTGTTGTTCTTATAAGAAGGAGAAAAGAGAAAGGGATGCAGGTACACAGAGGAAAGGTCCCATGAGGATATAGTGAGAAGGTGGCGGTCTGCAAGCCAAGGAGAGAGGCCCCAGGAGAAACCAGACCCACCAGCACCTTTATCTTGGACTTCTAGCCTCCAGAACTGTGAGAAAATAAATGTCTGTTGTTTAAGTCACCCAATCTTGGTATTTTGTTATAGCAGCCTGAGCAAACTAATACAGTTGCCCATTTAAAAATGATCTCTGAATCATTTCAACTTTGCAGACATAAAACTTTAAAACTGTAACTCACAGATGTTTTCTATAAACTAAAAGAGAAAAGGGCTGTGCAAGTGACTACAAAGAAAACACAATGCATGTGAAGGTGACATTCGAAATAATAGTCACCTGAAGCTCTTGAGGAGCGGCCTGTCCACTGCTCTGTTGAAATAAGTCCCCATGGCAGAGTTCAGTCACTCTGCACTAGCCCTTCCTTTTAGTTTATAAAATCAATTAACTTCCTCCATCCCTCACGGTGTGTGTGGTAATTAATGCGGCCATAAAAAGTGGCAATAATAATAATAACTCAAGGCTGAGGCTGATTTGTTTTAACTTGCAACCCTGCCAAAAAATGTGACAGCACATATTTATTGGGATTGTTTTATCATTGTCACTAGAACTGTTCCTTTGTGAAAATACAAAAGCAGAATTATTCTTGCAGAAATCTTTGTGGAATATTTGCAAATACAAGTTTTTTTTATGAGAGACATTAGAAAAACTCTTGGATTTTTGTCGTGGTTGCTATTCAAATGAGAGCCTTGAATGTAAACAACAAGCTTCCTCTGAGCAGAAGTGCCATGCAGGGGCTCAGGGCATGAAGCCCTGAGCCAGACTCCTGGGTTCCAATCCCAGCTCTGCTTGTGTGCTTGCGTGCTCATGTGCATGCATGTGTCTGGGTGGGTTGCTCACTCTCTCTGTGCTACAGGGTCCTCTGTCTATGAAGAAAGGGTGACAATGCTCTCCCCCGGCCTCAAGGGGTTCATTGAGGACTAAATGAAATAGCACACGTGAAACACCTCCAATGGGTCCTGGCAAAAGGCAAATAAATGCTCAACTGTCATCTACTCTTATTACATGGGTTTTAACAGTTGGTATCTAATACTTGGAGAGACCTTCAGTCTTTGAGTCCCTGGTGTGTCAATGTCTCTTCATTGCCGTTTTCTCATATGTAAAATGAGGATGCTACTACGACTCATGGGGCTGTGGGGGAGTGA